AGCCAACTCATAAGTTAGCCATGGTGGGATGTACTTTACTCAAAGATTACAAGAGACATACAGGATCAACCATGAAAACAGCAGTTCGCCCTTACTGTGAAAACCTAGTTATGGGAAAAGCAATTCCAACCATGCAAACTCCCACAAGTAGACCAACACACACATTCTAAACCAGATTGTGACCGACAGGCAACATGCACACAGAACTCCCGAAGACATGCTTTTTGTTTTGTTGTTTGCTCTTGAAATGGTCTCACTATGCAGCTCTGGCTGACCTTGAACTCACCGAGATCGCCTGGCTTGGCCTCCCAAGTGCTGGGATTAAAAAGGTGTGTGCCACCATGCCCTTACACTATTTATAAGTAAACATGCAATTACATTTTCAATCTAAAGCTTTGCACTGAACTTTTTAAAAGTCCCTGAAATAACTCATTTTTCCCTCCCATAAAACTTTAAGAAACAGAGCTAGTGAGTATTTTTTAAAGTTTCCTTCCAGTTGTAGAAGTTCCAATTACTCAGCTGTCTCTGTTTTGGGCTGTCTCAGTATTGCTTTAACACTGGTTAATGGACATTTGTTAGTTGTGGATGATTGCTAACTACTAAAAACCATTTGTAAAGGTTAATCCAATGGCTCTCAGTGGATTATTTTGCATCCTCATCAGACCTATTGGGAGATGTTTTTTTATTTATCACAATGGGATGGAAGGGGCTACTGACATCTAGAAATGCTGCTAAAAGTCCTACAATACACAGGATGGTTCCCACAACAACGCAAGTGTCAGCCGCGCCTGGGTTAAGAAACCTTGGGTTGATAAACACTGTTCAGGTGTGGGAACTTGTGTTAAGGCATGGCACAGTGCTAGATGCTGCAGATACAGAGTAAAACAGCATGGACCTGGGAGTCCCAGTGACCTGTGTTTCACTCTTGGGTCCACCCTTTACTAAAATCTAACCTCAAGCAAACTACCTCGCTCTTCTGTGGCAATCATATGTGTTAATGTGACTAACTGTGTACAACAGTAATTAATGTCCTGTTAAAACCAGGGAGGGAACCATCAGTGTCCAGAGGAGCCCAGGGAGACATGACAACTCAGTGCAATAGTTACAATATCCTGCATAGGATCACTGAAGAGAAAACGGATAAAGAACACAACTAAAGAAATCTGGGCAAATTAAGACCTTTTTTGGTTAACGATCATCTGCCAATATTTGTATGTTAGTTCAGAAGGACCATACTTATGGAAGATACTCCACATGTACGGTGATGCCAAGTTCCAAAAGAAATCCAAAGACTGAAAAAACATGGGAAACACAGCAGGGGATTTTCCTTCTTCTTCTTCTTCTTCTTCTTCTTCTTCTTCTTCTTCTTCTTCTTCTTCTTCTTCTTCTTCTTCTTCTTCCTCCTCCTCCTC